TAAAAATGAACCCCGATAATTTGAATGATGTATCGTTGAAATTAGCGGGGGTTCACGGTATCTGGCAAGACGACTAAAAATCTGGAAAATTCAGATAAATCTGGAAAATTCAGATAAATCTGGAATACTGACAACACTGACCGTGAGTAAAAAAAATGCATGAAAATCTCCACACACACACAACCACATGAGCTCGAAGACAAGTAAAAGGGATTGGCTAGCAATCTCTAGAACCAGATCAGAAAACCGCACACACGATTAGGGAGAGCTAACAAACAAAGAAACAAACAAACAAACAAACATATGGAAAGGAACAAGTATTATGAACAAACCTAGGTTAGGAACTCTAATAAATTATATAATGATTTCCGTTATTCGCCCCTGACATAAATGTTGTTTTTCTTAAAATTTAATCCTTTAAATTTTGTCGAACCTCTTAACGGAATCCCTTTATGAAGAGCTTTGAGTGGGTTGGTTTATTTCCTTTAAATTCCGTTATAATTGCTTATCTTTTGACAGATACGCGTATTTCGTCTACTACTTGCAGACTTCATCAGTGCCAAGTACTCAACACCAGTGTTGAGTACTTGGCACTGATGAAGTCTGCAAGTAGTAGACGAAATACGCGTATCTGTCAAAAGATAAGCAATTATAACGGAATTTAAAGGAAATAAACCAACCCACTCAAAGCTCTTCATTAAAATTTAAGCTTTCCCTGTAATGTTAATTTTGGTTGACTAGGTTTTTCACATTTGGCGTCGTTCTATTTTTGCGTCATTTGTTGTGGTATTTTTTGATAGTAGAATTTTCTCCAGTTGGACTGCCTGAAAGGGGAAGTTCCTCCAGTGATGATAAATGTGAGTGGGGGTTGTTGTTTTTTTTTTTTTGTTCATTAATTTATTTGATAAGGCTCAACCGAATTAACTTTACAGAGCCGAGGAATCTTGGTCACTATACAAAACATCTTAAAACTATAGTGAAAAGGTACAACACAATAAATACTTTATCTTCCGCTATCCAAAAAGCCTGGTCCATCAGAACCGGAGCCGCTTCCAGTGGTTTACTTGTATGGCATTTACGCCATCGTGGGGCAAAGCGCTTCCATTGCAGTAATGGACGCAAAACGTGGTCAACACTCACACACTCATCACGAAACGGTTGCTTTCCAAAGTCGACGTCGCATCGACCGAAAGAACTGCTAATGAAGAACAATGAGGAGGACCACACAATGGTTGCTGCCGAGAAAACAAACGATCGCGTGGCACACACCGAGAGTGGTCTGCTTTTGTCGACAGCCGAGTGAACACTGGGGGGGTTGTTGTGTTTCGGTAGAATGGCGGCTAGCACCAACTTTCACTTAAGACTATTTGAAGCAGCCTCTATCTGTGAGGATCTCAATACCTCATGGGATTTCAGTCTGCTGAATCGCCCTCAAACTAATTTTCGGTCTCTTCTACACATAAACCCGCCCTGAGGTTGGGTTTCTTGCCGGGCAAATCAAACCGTGACGAGTGGTCCTCTTCGGATGTGGCGCTTAAGCTTCTCGTTTTGAGACAGGAAGCGTATTCAGTGGTCGAAATTTCGCAGGTTGTGAGGCTTCCGTTACATTTGGCGCCCAACAAAACAAGTCTTTTTTGAACTTTGTGTAGCTTAACGTTTGTTTAGTAACTTTAATTATAATTTCTTGTGTGCGATGCGCATTTAGTTATATGGAAATTGGAAAATCTGTTTGTAGGGGAACTCTCTTTGTTTAATTTTCAATACAAGAACATTGGAACATTCGTTCAGCAAACCATGAAACGAGCTGGGCTTCGTGTATTCAAGGTCCGGAAGGCACCGAACCGGCGTGATCAACAAAACACGGCTGCCAAATCCCACGCAAGGAAGCTGTATCGAGAGTGGTTAACGAAACCGATGTGTGTGGTTATGGATGACGAAACCTACATCAAGGCAGACGCAAAGCAGATACCGGGGCTGAAGTTCTAAGTTGCCAAATCAGGGTTTGATGTTCCGGAAAACATAAGGAAGAAAAAAGTGGACAAATTCACCAAAAAATACTTTCTCTGGCAGGCCATATGCCAATGCGGTAAACTGAGTAAACCGTACATCACAATGGGTACCATCAACAGCGAAATTTACGCACCGAGTGCCTCCAGAAGCGTCTGTTGCCCTTCCTGCGGTCCCACGGAGGCGAGACATTATTTTGGCCGGACCTGGCATCATGCCATTACGCGCGATCGACGTTGGATTGGTACAGAGACAATAACGTTGTTTTTGTACCAAAAACCGCCAACCCCCCAAATTCACCAGAGATTCGTCCGGTGGAAAGATTTTGGGCCATAATGAAGGCCAAAGTTCGAAAATCGTCCAAGGTGTTTAAGAACGAGCTGGAGTTGAAGAAAGAATGGATGAAAGTGACCAAAAAGGTCGGCTCCACCATTGCACAAAATGTAATGAGGGGTCTTAAGGGAAAGGTGCGGGCTTTCAGCGATGGAAAGGAAATTGGAAAAAGTAATCATGCCGAAACATAATCCATATGTATTAGTTCATTCCCTGAAAGTTTCAAGAAAATCCGACTTAAAATAAATTTTTGGCGAACACTTTTGACTGGTGCATTTTTTTCGAGTATAGGCCTTATAAACAAATTTTTTTTTATGGATATAATATTTGTTAAATTGATAATGTATAGGATTTGGTATTTTGATGTTATTTATTGCTTATTGTTATTTATCTGTGCGAGCTCTTTTGCATGGGGGCTAGGGGATATAAAAAATGTTTTAATTCTTACATCAACGGCAGACGGAAAACTAAAAAAACGTGTTAATCGTCAACACCCTACCAAAGTTATAAATGAGAAAGCACGGGCATTGAGTTGAACTTTTTTTTGCCACAATTCTAGCGCAAACGTTATCAGATTTCTGTTCGTTCTTTTGCAAATAAAGCTGTAACTTTGACTTATCTTATCTCATGAACGACTTCTACCAAAGCGGAAGTTCAAACACCTCAATTTATGTCGTAATAAGGTAATCCAATGTGCGTCGGTTTGTCAGTTATCTACGGTGCTCACTTTCGGTTTGGAACTAATTTCGTTTTTTTCATATGGAAAAAAAATATATTTTGAAAGATCTTTGATTGAAACCCAAAAGGGTTTTTTTTTCTCATATAAAATAAGATAATCTAGAGCCCAACTCAAACAGGTCAAGCATAAGTATCATCACCCTAATATAACGGCGCCGGTGGTGTAGTGGTAAGCGTGATTACCTCTCACCCCAGCAGGCCTGGGTTCAATCCCAGTCGGCGCCGCCGGGATGTTCTGAGGCATAACATCTCTGATCACGCCTTCCTTCGGATGGGAAGTAAAGCCGTTGGTCCCCGGTTCATGAGTTGATGGGTCGATAGGTAGGGTCCAGGCGTGGGAGCTGCCTTCCTGGCACGTCGGTAGCATTGGTGCTCAGCACGGAAAACAAGATCGACGGAAAAAAAACAAACCAAAGGAAATCACCCTAATATAGGCACTGAAACGCAATACACAATCAATGACTCAAACAAAATTGTTGTCCTACTGATAAAGACTTTGACAGTGTACAACACATATTGGGAAAACTTTTACGCTGCTCAAGATAAAATTCACCCTATTGGCATTTACCGTTTGAGCAACATTCCAAACACGTAGCTAGGCAAATTTCTACGAATTGATCTGCTTGAAATTCCATACTAAATACAACACACTGCTCTCCCGTCCACAAAGAACCACAAAAACTTAACCGTGTCACCACACTGTGAGACAACCGTGACATCGATAGGTGGTGACCGCAGGGCCGGAGGAAACCGTCCAAGCGAAACCAAGAAAAACCTCGCCCCCGAAATGAGAAAGACTGTCTGTTGCAGTAGCACATGTGCATTCTATTAAGCTACGACTATTTATAGACGACATAGAGTTGTTGTAGTTAATAACTATAATTTCAAATTTCACCACCAGCGCACTTCTTGACTTCTTGTTGTTTTTCTACTTACTAGAGCTAGTATCGGTCGATTTGCCAATTTCGCCCTCTTCTATCGAACAAGATTTTCCCTTTGCACTCGGGGGGATATGTTACGTATAGGTGCACTGCCTACATAATCGCATATCAGTCCCATATGGATTTTTGTCGATTTTGAGATAACGATACTATCAATTGGCATCTTCTTTCCTATTATGCCATCCTTAAGTTGAATCGTTGGAGTTGCCATATTTTTCAAGCTGCAATGCAGCTGATTTTAACTTGAAAAAATATTATTAAATTTACTTTGATTTTTCAAATATTTACATGGGAATTGCACTTCGTAGCTTCGACTGCCCTTTTTCTCAATGCCTACTTTTTTCCATATGGGACTGATATGGGATTGTGGGCAGTACATATGCACAGCACTCGTATTGCACTAATGACCGCATCGACGCCCGTAGTGCGATATTCAGGGGCGTGTGAGGAAGTCCTTGCTTCTATAATTTGGTCCTATTACTAAAACCCAGCTGTAAAAAGATTCGATCGTGGGTTGCAAATGACTATACCACTGATTTGCGCTTGAACAATCATCTCGTTCAAAAACCCCCCTCCACACACACACACACACCTCTGGCTAAGCGCAGTGCGGTGTGTTTCCCACCAATTCTGTGCATTCCTAGCTACTTCGTTTATGATTGTTTTTCCAAGAGCGAATTGCAGCTTTAACTACCTACTTATATATATCGACCGATTTAGAATAGCATTTGAATTGTTGCAAAAGCATTCCCAGCCCTAATCTGCAATGGCATCGGAAAGAAAATATAAATAAGAATAAGAGCCCTCATTCGATGCAATTTGGCATGCAATCAATTCCTTGCACTTATCTACATTGTACTCGCATACCCTGTCAGCAATTAATATCATCGTATAATAGTAGTTGGAGATGATCCGAAAGCACTAAAACGATTTTCCCTTCTCTCTCTCTCTCTCTCTCTCTCTCTCTCTCTCCCATTGCAGCGCAATAACTTTTATACCATCGTTTTTGTTCGAGCAGTTCCGGCGGTATTCGAACTGCTTCTTTCTGTTCATCGCACTGCTGCAGCAGATTCCGGACGTTTCGCCAACCGGTCGTTACACAACCCTTGTACCTTTGTTATTTATTCTCTCGGTGAGCGCCCTCAAGGAGATCATCGAGGACATCAAGCGGCACCGGGCGGACGATGAGATCAACCACCGGGAGATCGAAACCCTCCAGGGTGGCCAGTGGCGATGGATCAAGTGGAAAGAGCTGTCCGTCGGCGACATCGTCAAAGTGCAGAACAATACCTTCTTCCCGGCCGATCTGGTGCAGCTGTCGTCGAGCGAACCGCAGGGCATATCATTCATCGAGACGTCCAACCTGGACGGCGAAACGAATCTCAAGATTCGACAGGGCGTTTCCGCCACGGCCAAAATCCTCGAAACCAAAGATTTTATCCAGTTTTCCGGTACGCTGGAAAGCGAACCACCCAACCGGCATTTATACGAGTTCAACGGGGTGCTGAAGGAGACCGGCAAGTCGTAAGTACATTGTTTTTTGCTTAGGTTTAAGATTTTTTTTTTACATTGCAATCTATCTTGATCGTAGTCTATCTTCTTCTTCCAATATTGAACATAACCGCTTTCTCAGCGTAAAACATTTTTGACGTAGGACTACATCTGTGATTCCTATATGGGGGTACACTCTGTGAAAACCAAAAATGGAACATGTAACGAAATTATGAAAGATTTTGAACGTTAATAACTCAGCTGCCCCTGGACCAATTTCAATAATTTTATCACCAATCGATCATAAATATTTCAACGCATCGATAGCAATGCTTCCGACTGTTAATTTTCGACAAGAAACCATTGAAAATGTGGTAAATGTCAAACATTGTCCAAAAGCGTTGGAATAACTAACAAATCCACCAATTACGTACATGCATATGCTGCTTCCCCAACAAAGTCATCAGAGAATCGTTTCTAGACGATGGTAGCGAGTCACTTTTTAGTGACTTGGCCACTTTTTAGTGACTTGGTCACTTTTTAGTGACTTGGTCACTTTTTAGTGACTTGGTCACTTTTTTCAACTTTTTTTTTAACGTGAATTGATCATTCTTCTCGCAGTGTGTAGGATAGGCCTACATTTTGTTCTAATTTTTTACCAATTCGAAGTTGACGACCTTGTATAGAGTTTTTTGACGTTTAATCGTCTTTCTCTATCAACAGGGTGTCCACTCATTTGGCTAAATAAAGTTCCCTGAGTTTTCCAGGTTTTTCCATAACTTTGGTTGATAATTTCCAGGTTTATAATAAGACATCTATTTATGAAATGCGTTAAAAATATGATTTTTTCTGTAAAACAACAACAACAAAATTTAACGCAATCGTTTATAAAACATGACAATCAGTTTTGAATAAACAGCTTTACTTCATTTTAGAAAGTCTAATATCACAACATTTTTAATGTCTTGATGTTTCGTACTAGCAAAATTGTGGAAACTTTTAAGAAGTTCTAGGGATCTTTGGGGAATTCCAGAGATCATAAGCGGAAGTCCCCAAAATTTTAGCCAATACTATTGGATTGTTTTAAATTCTATAAGTGTGAGCTTAGACAAATTCAGGATAATTCCATGATATGCTGAAATAAAATCGAGAACCCTTAAGGTGAAAGTTAATGCTTTTCCTTTGATACTGAATCCACACCCGTTCAAACAACACCCAAATTCGAAATGCACCAATACCAACAAGCATTACAAATTGGAAAAATGGGAAGTATTGAAATTTTGAACATATTCGTAAACACAATATTATTGTACAATAATTCTACTACTGAAATGACAACTTCAATTCCAAGATTCCAAGCTCAGGGTAGTCCTACTAATGCTCAAGGAAGTCTTGCCGTAGTTCGGGGAAGGCCTGTCGAACTTCAGCGAAGCCCTGGCCGAAAGTCCTTCCGAAGTTCAGGGAAGCCTTGCCGAAGTTCAGGGAAGTTCTGCGAAAATTCAAATAAGTTCTGCTGAAGTTCAGGAAAGTTCTGCCGATGTGCAGGGAAGTTTTTCCGAACTATAGGGAAGTCCTACCAATGTTCAGGGAAGGCCTGCCGAACTTCGGGAAAGTCCTGCCAAAGTTCAGGAAACTCCTGCCGAAGTTCAGGGAACTCCTGCCGAAGTGATTTATTAGATTTTTCGACTGGTACGTATGGAGATTTCTTTTATATGGCTTTCTCAGTCTAGGGTAATCCAAACAGGGAAATGCAAAACTGACTGTTTGGATTACCCTAGATTGAGAAAGCCATATAAAAGGTATCTCCTGCTAAAGTTCAGAGAACTCCTGCCGAAGCTCAGAGAAGTTCTACCGAAGTTCAGGGAAGTCTTGCCAAAGTTCAGGGAAGTCCTGCTGAGGTTCAGGGAAGTCTTTCCGAAGTTCAGAGAAGTTCTGCCGAAGTTCAGGGAAGGGCTGCTGAAATTCAGGGAAGTCCTTTTTTAGAAATCATGGAAGTCCTGATGAAGTTCAGGGAAGGCCTGCCGAACCTCTAGGAAGTCCTACCGTAGTTCAGGGAAGGCCTGTCAAAGTTCAGAGAAGTTCTGCTGAAGTTTAGGGAAGTCCTGCCGAAGTTCAGAGAAGTTCTGAGAAGTTTAGGGAAGTTCTGCCAAAGTTCATGGAATTATCTAATTATCTTTAAAAATACCAAGATATATCAGAATACCTTCATCAAAAGGCTGAAATTTTCACATAATATCATGAAATACTTGTGAAACAACTTGTGAATATCGAGAAACATATTGTTTTCCTTGGAAATGTTCCTAACAATTTTTTAAAACGATCTACGGGAGTGAAATATGACCTTTCATACAAAATACTTGTGTAATTGATGCGCAAAATTAGCAACCACTATGATTGTGGTCCTCAAATTGAACTTAGAAAATGGTTTTCAGATAATTTAAATAATAAATCAATCTTGTAAAAATTGCTAGAGATAGCAATTTTAGTTCTTTAATTTTGCACGGAAGAGTTTTTTTCGATTGAGCGTTACGTTATTTTGTAAAAAAAATCAAAGAAGCAAGTCATTCTGAACCGATCCACTTCCACCTTAAGGTTCAATTTACTTTGATGCTTTTTGGAAAATTTCAAAAGCAGTTTTTTCCGACGCATTATTTCAGATTGCAAAAAGCTCGCACTATTCGATTCCTTTTGATATTTAACACAAAATGACGCGAGCTTTTTGCAATCTAAAATAATGCGTCGAAAAAAACTGCTTTTGAATTTTTAAAAAATGTATCAAAGTAAATTGAGCCTTAAATAAGGCCCCGTGATCTTGCCTACTGTCAAACGTATAGGATTGATATGGGGTTGCCAGTCTACTGATTTTACCATAGAAGTAAAGAGCTACAGAGTCGCCGTCAACGCCAATTGACAATTCGCCTCTTCGGTCACTCTGTAACTCTTCACTCCTATGGTAAAATCCCATAAGCAAACATCAGTCTGTGCGTGAAACTTGGTGAACATTTCCTTACCCTTTCACTCCAATGAAACTCCCATATGATTCTGTCAATCTTTGCTTGAAGAAACGGCGGCCTGCTGGAGGAATGAAGAGACAATAAGACAAAGGCCGCTAGATTTCATGCACAGATTGTCAGATGCTTATGGGATTTTACCAGGAGTAAACAATTGCAGCGTCGTTGTCAACGTCAATGCTTACTTTCGTAAAGGCCAATGCTGCAAACGTAAACAATTACTTTTTGCGTGAATTTCTCGAAAATGAAAACTCACTCAAGAAAACCAACACCATGATTGTGTAGAGAGAGAGTCCTCCTATCCGATAAAATTAGTGGCTTACATGGATTGGCTTTGACGTACGAGACATTAACGAACGAAGCCATTATTTATGTTTTCGACATTGGCCCATATGAACGCTCAGTGTCGATATGACGAAAATTTTATTTTGACAGATCGATGTCTAACTATGCCAGTTATACCACCGGTTGGAAACTAACGATTTAAAGTTGGCTTACTACTTGACTAGCCTATTGGCCCCAACTACATCGATTAACGTACCCCATTCTAGTCGACATTCTAGTACTACATTATGTTTGTTTTGATTCGCTATGAAAGTTTGACAGATAAAATGAAGGGGTTCGTGGATTTTCCTATGTTTCGAGGGGTGCATCGATTAGCTTGGAACCGAAGATAGTACCAGAGCTAAGCCAAAAAAATTGAGAATGTTTCTTCGGTACCTTCTGGCCTTAAAGTTATCTCTCTGGTTTGGTCTTAAAGTTACCTCTATCACGCTATTCAGATAACACTTCTGAAATTTGCGAGTTTGACAGAACCACGAGCACCAAATTGCCGGGGTACACTGGCAATATACTGGAGCTGTCATGTTACCACACCATGCTTCTCTACGACCTCGATACCTGTTTCTGCCTCTATACAACCATCATCTTTGACTGTCTACTACCAGAATGTTAGAGGTATGTTGTGTATGTTGTGTATTGACCGAAACATGGCTCCACGCCAATACATTGCTGATTCGGAACTGGCAACCAATTACTCCACCTTTCGATGTGATCGGAATGCTTCCACTAGTCAGCATGGACGTGGTGGAGGTGTCCTTGTAGCTGTCAAGATATCACTCCAATGCAAATCAGTTTCACTTAATAACTGTGACAGCTTGGAACAAATCGCGGTGTGCATCAATCTCCCTCGACAATGCATCTATGTTTGTGGCATTGCATTCCACATCGGTATCACAAATTCTCTAAACAGCTTCAAAATTCGACACAGTTGTCGTTCTAGGCGAATGCAACTTACCAAACCTAAAGAGGCGGTTTGATGAAGATGTTCATGGTTTTTTGCCGATAAACGCTTCTACATAAAATGAGTTGGCACTTACCGAATCCATGATTTCCAGCGGACCGCTGAACACAAATGAGAGACTGCTCAATTTGGCATTCGTAAGTGATATCGATGCTGTAGTCCTTTGTCGAACCTCCGTTGCCAATTCTGAGAATCGACCACCACCACAGACCATTCATCCTGCAGATCAGATCGATGAATACTGCTATTTCTTCTGTCGAGTGGAACGATCTACTGAAAGGTGTTTCTGTGAATAGGGCAGTTGCTATATTCTATGATAAACTTCATACCAGGGTTCTACATTTCCGAAACAAAGAAAAGAAAATGAGCTTTCCGCAGAATCGCTTCATTTCGAGCAATATCAGTTTTCGTGTAGTTCATTGTGTTTCTTGTTATCGAGTCACGATGAACATTCCTCCTGTAAAAACATGACTTGACTATCGCTTTTTTCGTTCGTCAAGTGCATCAGTTCATTTCATTTGAAGGAAAGACTTGTTTCAATTGACGCAATGAATGACTCGAAAACTGCTTTCTTCGTTTTTTTCCACTTTCACTTCAATTCGGGGCTCACTCGACTTGACACGCGTCGCGTCATCAGGCATCAAAATATAGTATCCAGATAGTTAATATCGTTATAGAGATGGCATCCGGATTATATTTCGTAATAAAATGTTATTTTA